CTACTACTCATTCCTGCGTCCTTTGTGATCTTACAAAGCTTCAAACGATGCGTCGACTATTAAATTAGTCGTCGACGATTTTAATAGTCGACATAATCGTGACTAGTCGCGACATAATCGTGACTAGTCGACTAATCGTGGCAGCCCTAGTTTGAAATGTGCTCAATTTGACATACAATTCTAAATGGAGTAAAACGCAAGCAATATGAGCCACTTCATATTATATGGTACGAAGGAGGGCATTATTCTAAAATATTACTACAATGCTTCCAACCAACTGTTCTCCAGAGCACCAAACCCATCATACTTCCTTAACCTTTATGTTTTTGACTTTACAGTGGCGCAAGTGAACACTGCACTCCAGCTGGGTCCAGAAGACTTCAAAGAAAAGTATGGTGGTGAATTACCTCACCAGACAGATAACGTTGTGTTTACTTGTTTGGCGGGAATCAGGAGCAAGACTGCGCTGAACATGGCCATCACACTGGGATACAAAGAGTGAGATATGTGTCCTTGGCTTATGTCTGTCACCGTCACTGGTTTCCACCTCGTCATTATGTTTCTTACTAGACTTGGCCATTTTCAGTCACGAGAAAAGTTATCAGTATTGTGGTTAAACTTAGACTTTTATAGTTACCACCATGAGACAGCATTTACTATAGTTGAGGTTATTGCCTTGTAGTTACACAATGCTGTTCCTCCTCGGAAGGATACCACATGTCCCACATCACATTTTCTATGTCTATGTGTCAAGTATTAAAACACTGTGATTGTCTGGTGATGGTAAAGTCACATACAAATGCATGATTTTGTTTAAAAGTCTTAAATTATGAAAAGTGTGATTTCGTCAAAGCAAATGTTCACTTTTTTCTTTCTTTTGTGTCTTGTTTCAGTGTTCAGTATTACTCTGGAGGATGGCAAGACTGGGTGAAGCATGAGCAGCATAATCAGTGATCATGGAACTGGAAAGATATTTATATATTTATTTGAAGGTATTTTTGCAATTATTCGAGTTTAGAATGTGAAGTGATGGCGCAGCCTTGTAAAGGGCTTAAAAAAATTTCATGGCTCCTCATTTCAATATTAAAATCTCAAAGAGGTGAAACCAGTTTGCTTAAATCCACATCTGCCATACAATATTTCTTGAAACCCCTCTTTAATTTCTCTCAGGCTTAACCTCCTTCTAAACCCTTTACAGCTTTTTGAAATAAGCTCAAAGAATCTTCTGAAGTGCTAAAGATTAATTATGCAAATAAAGTCTTCCACTCCATAATGTGAACTATTTTATTATTTCCTGTTGACATATTGTAAATATTAAATTGCTCAACAGGCAGTGCAGACTTTGCCAATACTTAATGCATTTATTAATAAATGTACTATTTAATAAAGTTATCAAAGCTAAATAAACTAATATTTAACTTGAGTCTGTGTGTGTTTATTATTATTTTTATTATTTATATATTGGGCAGGATTAGTAGATGACCTAAGAGGACATTCGTTTAAGTAATTCCAGATATAAATAGGCATAGAGAGGCTTGCCGGGGTGACAGCTGCTGGGGAAGTACTACGATTTACTGTATTGAAGGTCCTTGTCTAATATCCTGTATGAATTTGTCACCAACTCTCCACAGGTTCCTTCATCATCCGTGATAATAAATGGGTTTGTTTTCAGCAGGGAAGAATGTTTCCACTACAGTTTGCTGACCACCGCCATGGACCTTGTTCCCTATTCCTTCTTTTACAGCTTGAGCTGAAAGTCCCTGCAGAATCAGCAAATTTTAATCTCACTGTCTTGTTTAATTTGGACAATATTGTTTTAAGTTACTTTAGTTTATCCTAAAATTCAGCTTAATCATTGTGAGTGACAGGAAACTGGCCTCTAGGTGTCTTTTCAGATGCGTTAGTAAATTATCTAGAAGTGTTTATTGGTTTTCTTTGGGGACATAATTGATAGCTTTAAAACATACCTGACATTGTTGTATCACCTCAGCACTTTACAGGGGTTTTTGTTTCTTTTATATTTGAGCTTGGTGTTGACAGTAATGACTTGTAAATAAAAATAAACAGTTTTTGAGAATCAGAAAATTTTGTGATGCAATAATATATATACTTAAGATTTACATCTATATAAATATTTAATTTTGATTGTTTTAGAGTTTTCACCTCTCTGATACAGTTTTTAAATAAATAAGAAAATATTTAAGAAATATATATGAAAAAATAGTTTTATGAACACGTAAACATATTTAATACCATATATTGATGCATATATATTGTATGAGCAGTTCCATTGGTAAATTTGTCAAGAATTTGTGAAAAATTCTATTAATTGACAGCAAAGCTTTGCATGGTATTCAAGACAGAATAATCTTTACACAACGTTGTAAAAAATGAAGTTTTCACAGGACTTAATAGCTCTGAGAAAAACTATGTGCATCCATATGGTTACTGGTAATTGCACTTGATCAAATGATCATCAGCATGTGTGAACATCTCCATCAAAAGAGACGTTTTGGCAGTTTGCTGGTCTGGAGCATTCAATACCACAAGCTTTCCAGGAGTGGACATCCTAGCAAATCCCCACCCCAAGGTCAGACTGCGCTCAAAAACTGCAAAAAACCCAAGGGTAACATCTCAGACTCTACAGGCTCAGTTAGCATGTTAAAGTTCATGACAGTTAGAAAAACACAGACCAGTCTTGCTTGCAGTGGTTGCCAGGAGAAAGATAACATGGAAGATTATGTTTACAAAGTTACATCTGAAGAAACCACAAGATTTCTGGAACAATGTCCATTGAACAGATAACACCAACATGGAGATGTTTGGCTACAATGCTCCGTGCTACATTTTGTAAAAACTAAACACAATATATCAACACAAACACCTCAAACATGCTGCCAGCATGGTGGTGGATGGGTGATGATCTGGGCTTGTTTTGCAGCTACAGGACCTGGGTACCTTACAGTCACTCAGTTGACAATGAACTCTGTATACCAAAGTATTGTAGAGTCAAATATAAAGCCATCTGTTTGACATTTGACGGACTGACAATGTCATACAAAAAAACACCAACTTGAGATACTCCATCTAGTAAAGGAGTATCTTAAAGTAGTCTTAACTTTATTTATTAACTAAATTTATTATTAAATAATACATTTATTCAATCAGTTTGCTGAACGTTCTCTGCTGCCACAAGGGCGTCTTTCATAGCAAATGCCACCACCCTCTAAATATAATATAATTATCTGGTATTTGTCATTTAACACCAATAATAATAATGATAATAACAAAGCATTTTTAGTTCAATATTATCATCCATTTTAATAAGTAATAATTTCATATTTAAATGAGTATCAGGCAAAAAAAGTTATAATACCACACAATGATGTATAAGAGTTTGTGGTCTTAGTAAATGAAGTGAGGTTTTATAAATACTGTAACAGAAAGCATCATCATAGTGAACAACGGTTGGTGGAACGTGAAACAAGCAGCTTAGTAGAGAGATGACTATTCACATGACTGAAATATTCCGGCTCTTCCCAAAAGTCCCATGCGGCTGCAAGATGTGAGGTCAGTAGGAGAGAATAGATGCTCACTTAATCCATCACGGCAAGTTTTCACATGGAACTGTGAATAAATCATCTCATAAGTTGGATTTTAATGTTCTAAGCGGACTAAACCAACATCGGCTTTATGCATATTTTGAGTTTTTTTGTGGTTTACCATGTAGCTGTGGTACCTTCTTATTTATAATTGAGCTCATTGTAATATCGTCCAACCCCTGCCCATGTGATTCTGTAGGTGTCAATGTAAACCATGAACAGGGCTGACTGGCATTTATGCCCTTTTATCACTGTGTCATGTCATCCGTAAACTCCAGACTGTAATCTCCCCCCTCCTTTTCTTCCGCTTCCTCATCTTCCCGCTGAAGCAGTTAATTCCATTTTCTTTTTTCTGCATACTCCAGTTTTAATATGTTGAAAACAGAGCAGACTAATAAGTACTAATTTACGTCAAAATCTTGCCAGCGCTCTTTTGTTCCTCTGCAGCCACAGCCTCATCAGGTCACCCTCTAGCTTCTGCTCAGCATTCAATTAAAGTCCCTCGTCCCATCAGAGCACATCACATCAGAGATGCACCTACTGGCTGCAATGACTTACTGGACCCTGCCTCATTGCCTGCCTGCCTGTCTCCCTGCTTGTCCTCTGATGCCGGACATTAAGGTGGTGGATGTGTTGTAACCCAGGCAAAAACCCATTATGATTTGGATAAAATAAGGAGTCTGAGAGACTTGTGCCCACAGCCATGATCCCAGCCCATTTCTGCTTCTCACAAGCTGCTGATACATATCTGAGAGGCAGGTCAAGCCTGCTTTAGTACGGAGGTTCAAGATTCCGCATGCGTCGGCTCATGACCTGGGCTGTTATGAACAGAGCAGGAGCATGACTGTCAATGGGGAGTATAAAACCTCAGACTGTGCTGACAACCAGAGAGTGCAACAAAGGAAGGTTCAGGAGCAGTAAAGTGCAGCAAACCACTGACTGTTTCCCTTCACACAACCAAAGCCACATAGAAACCGCTGCCATGAGCTTCAGCCCAGAGAGGATCTCGTCCTACCGCCGTCACTTTGAGGACAGCAGCAGCTCGTCCTACCAGATCAGGGTGTCGAGCCCATCCCCCACCAGGAGAGAGGCCCGCCGTGCCTCCACCGGCTGCTTCTCCTCTAGAGCCGGGGCCAGCAGCATGCGTGTGGACTCAGTGGGACGAAGGACCATGTCTGCAGCACGCAGGTCTCGCATGGTAGGAGCAGGGTAAGCCATTGGATTTTTGTTTTACAGGCGAAGCCGCGAAAATAAATTCTTCTTCTACAGGCTGTCTTTAGGAATAATTTTAATCACTTAAAGGAACATATTTTGGTGCCTGTGGCTGTAGGTTAACTTGTATCAGTCATTTCAGTGTGAGTGCAGGCGCCATGGTGTGCGTCGGGCCAAGCGGAGAGCCTGCCATAGACCTGGATGTGGCTGCAGCTGAAAACCAGGAATTCCTCAGCACCCGGACAAGCGAAAGACAGGAGATGATCGTTCTCAACGACAGACTGGCCGTATACATCGACAAGGTGAAACAACCTTTTTCAACTCGATTTTACTTATTTTGATAGGCGCAGCGAAAAGCAGATATCACACTGAACTCAAACATGTTCCACAGAAGTAATTCTCATCTTGTGGAGCGTGGTTTAGACTGAGTTTTCGTGTCCTTACAGGTGCGATCGCTCGAGCAGCAGAACAAGCTACTGGAAACTGAGATTGAGGCCTATCAGAACCGGTTTGAGAAGCCTGTGGGTCTGCGCCTGCTCTATGAGGAACAGCTGAAAGAGCTGAAGAAGATTGCTGAACAAATGAGAGTTCAGAGGGTGAGACGAGAAATCTCCCGGATCCTGCCTCTGCTCTTCCTTTGCTTAGACACTCAAGAGGGCATTAAGTTTACACCTCACCGATCTGTAGAAGATCCACCCAAACAACGATACAAGACGTCAACTTGGTGTTTTCAAAGTTCTTTACCTGGTAACAAGCTCATTTCTGGCAGGCAATTTGAGGGGGATCCTGACCGTATTTGGGTGTCAGACTACAGCTGTTGTCAGATGTGTTTTATGCACAGATGAGATGACTTGATAATGCGCTGGCAGGCACACACACAAGAATGAAGCTGAAATATAAAATGCAAAAGGCTCAGCTAGATTTTGCGCACACCCTTGTGTTCACCTTCAAATCTAGCAGACAGGCGTGTTAATTATGCTTTCTTGGTTTTCAGGACATTTCCTTGGCGTCCAAAGAGTCTGCAGCTGCTCAACTAAAGGCAATCAAAGTCAAATATGAGGAGGCGGTGGAGCTGAGGAAGAAAGCCGAGTTAGACATTGAGGCCTTCCGTCCAGTGAGTGACATTAAATTAGCCACTGTCCTGGGTGTGAATGTCGCCTACACATTATTTCTCAGGGGCAGACATACATGATAACACTTCTGTTTATTTTTCAGGATGTGGACAAAGCCACCTCCTCCCGCATTGCCTTGGAGAAGAAGCTGGAGCAGTTAGAGGTTGAAATTGAATTCCTTAAACGAATCCATCAGCAGGTGGGTGACATCTTTACGTAGGAATTAGCTATTCCAAGTTTGCCTTTTATTTTTAATGATTCCTAAAGGCCTCTCTTTTTTTATTTTTGGTTTAGGAAATTGATGAACTCATGAAACAGATCTACGCCGCTCACGTCTCAGCCCAGAGTGCGTTCACTCTGCCCGACTTGGCTGCTGCTTTGAAACAAATTCAAACCCAGTATGACGATATCGCAGCCAAAAATCTCCAGGTACAAAAATATCACACAAAACTGCTTCCAGATGATGAAAAGTACACAGTTGAGTCTTCTGTAACGTTATCATTCTCCACTGTTAGGAAATGGATTCGTGGTATAAAAACAAATTTGAAGATCTAACCAAGAAGACGTCGAGGCATGTTGATAAAGTTCGAAGCGTTAGAGAAGAAATAGCCAGTGCCAAAAAAGATGTGAGTATTACAAGTGAAAATTAATATGTAAGAACCGTTTATTAATATTGAGTGTCTATAATTGGGCTGAAACTGTCCCTAGATCCAAAGTAAAGAACGAGATTTGGATGCCATGCGGACCAGAAACGAGGCTCTTGAAGCTCAGATCCGTGAGACACAAGAGAAGTACAGAAAAGAACTGGAAGACCTGCAGGTAAATGTCGGCTCATGTTGTCCCAGGGTGCACACCTGATCCCACCAGAGTCAGTCATAAATACAAACATGCTCTCACATTCATACATGCAAACACAAAGCCACTACAACAACACATTCATTATATAACCCCGATTTCCTGATAGGCTCGGATTGAGGCCCTGCAGCTCGAGCTGAAATCCACCAAGGAGAAAATTGCGCTGCACCTGCGTGAGTACCAGGAGCTTCTGAATATCAAGATGGCTCTGGAGATTGAGATCACAACTTACAGGTAAGTGAAAAATAACCACCTGAAAATGATTTTTGGGTTGTGTCTTTGAGTGAATATTAATAAATTTGGT